GTCTCACTGCTGCAAAATCCTTGTCCTCACATTTTGATCCGTCTTTGTAGATGGGTGTATGTTTAGGCAAGTTTGACAATATGCCCTAAAACTTATCCTGGGTGCATTTTTTTTTTTTTGGTAGATTATGTAATTCTAGCAGAACTTCGGGTTGCTTGAAAGCCCAAGGTGAAATGCTGGCTGCAGTTATTTCTTGTATATTTGTGAGTGTGGTGCCTAACTCTTTAATAGTAGAGTTAATCCTGAGTCCTTAGGATTGTATGTCATTAACTTTTTGTTAGAATAGATCGCATTAATTCGGTTCAAATGTATTGCTGTAAGCTGGGTTGGTTGGGCATGATTTTATTTTTACATAGTACAGTAGTGTTAGTTTAGTGTGCCGTAAATCTGGAGGTGTTCCATTAGTTTCTGAATATAAGCTCTCCACTGGAGATGTTCTGAAAGTCCCGAGTCTGAGGTCTTGATGATAAGTTGCACTGAGAATTTTTTTTGTACAACTTTCTGGCCGCCCAATATATGACACTAGCGTAATCCAGTTTGGAGCGATGTAGCAATCAGTATAATTTTGTCAATGTTAGTTGATCTACTTTTCATTCAGTTTGGGCCACAAGACGCAGAAATTGTAGGGATTTGCTACATTTTGTTTTGTTTTAGATGAAGAATGAACATTAATTTTTATCAAGGATAATGCCGAGAAACTTGTGTTTTTTCACTACTAGGTTTTCTGATCGGTCTAATTTTAAACATGGTCTTTGCGCAATTTTCTTAATTTGCAGAAATGTAGGCATTTGGTTTTAATTTTGGAAAAAAGTAAACCCATTTTCAGTGGTTCATTTGTGCATTTTATTAAGACATTCTTAGAGTTCACTTTCTCTGGTATATATTTTCCATGGTATTTATTTCCCATGGTATTTATTTTTCATGGTATTTATTTTCCATGGTATTTATTTTCCATGGTATTTCTTGATGTACACAATGAAAAAATCGTCGATATATTCAGAGGATCTCACTCCTGGGCTTAGGATAACTATCGATTTAATTTCTACGCAAAAAAGCGTCACCAAAAGAATGATTTCTTGTAGAACCCATTCTTGTTGATCTTGCAATTCCGATAGCGTACTTCATGAATTTCCATATCCATTTTTTCTAGTTCGTCAAATAGGTTTTGCTTTGGAATTTAGTTGTCGTGGATTTTCCGCTTTTGTTTAGATGATTCTAATCTTTTAGAAGATAATCTTTCCTGGGTTTTGGTGGATGGACAATAGATCGTTGTTACTTTTGTCTTGTCGAAGAATTGCTATTTTTCGTAGGAGTAGGTTGTGTTTCAGTTATTTTGTTTTTTGTTTTTTTTTAATTTATTTCTTATTTTAGTTCCTTCCTTGTCCTACTTTTGCATTTCAGCTTGCACCATTTCCGTGGAATATAAACGTTTTATGTAGGTTTGAAATTTGGGCAACTCATTTATTCCCAAGGGAAACTCCTTCTCAATTAGGGCTCTGTATTTATCAGGCTGACCAGCATTATTTGTAATCTTCTTTTCCATATACTTCGACAACTTTTTGCATAGAAAGAGCCTTACGTGTAACCTTCTACTACTTGCCTTGCGTCTGAAAATGAGATGTTTCTTTATATTTTTCTTCGAAAAATTCCCTTTACATTTTCCAGAAAACGCATATTCTTGAGTATGCTGGATGGCTTTCCATTTTCAGTTAACACATCATATTTCATCGTAGCATTATTCTTCAGAATTTCTACATGTTGACCGACTCCTGCAGCTATCCTTATGATGTCCAAATTTTTGGCACCAAAAGCTTCTTAGGGGGCAGTGGTATATATTATTCCACTGGCTCAATATTAGGCCCTATTTTAATTTTGGCAAATTTCAGGTGTCCCAAAAGTAAGAATATATGTGCCAATTATAAATGTTTCCCCTATTCTTTTAAATGAGATTTTATGGTAATCGCTGACCACTTGGCTTGCTAAGGCAGATGTAATTTCCTCAGCTGTGGCCAGAGACAACACATTACTTCTAATGACTCCCTTACATGAGCGAAGGTTTTAATTTTGATATGATGACAGGTCTTCAGTTGAGTTGGAAAATAGGAAACAAGCAGAAAATATAATAATTTTCTCGGTGTGTCTACAAAATGATTAAGCGGCGAGTTTAACTTACGTGGTAGAAATATTTAATGAAGAAAATGTATTAAAAAAATATACGCTTATTATTGGGAATACAGTATTTACCTCAGGTTTTCTTGTTTTTTTTGTTTTTATTCTCCAAGAAAGTTCGTTGTCTATGTTTATGAGTTTTAAAAGTGAATTATGAATGCGGATACAACAGACACAAAGGAAGACGAAAGAATATATTGATCGAAAAAAGCGATTACAGCTCAACTAAACGAAAGCAATAATCCATACAATAGTTTTAATTCTGTTTGTCCATTCATTAGTTAGCACGACTGTTACGGCCTGTCATTACCTAATAAATTCATTTTGATCGGGTTTAAAGGCGGAAAAGACATAGAGACACTACTTGGTTTCAGTGAGCAATGGAATGAAATAAAGAACTTAGAAAGGGAGCAAGGAGTAGGAAGCGACAAATGTTTAATATCTGTTGCCATTACTTCATAAATAATGAGCTATTTCGTTTTGATCCCGTGGAAAGTCGAAAAAGATATATAAGAGACTCTGCTTTGTTTCAGTGAGAAAAAGAAAGAAATATTTAACGGCTCCTGTCATAATTAATGTACAGTCCGTTTTGATCGTGGGAAAAGAAGGAAAAATCATAGCATATTCCCTGCTTTGTTTCCATTACAAAATGAAAGATTTAGAGTTTATCATCTTCTGTCAATACCTTATAACTAATGAACTATTACGTTTTGATTGCTTAGAAAGACGGAAAAGACATATCAGTGACGCTATGTAGTTTTAAAGTGTTTAATGTGAAATTAAAACGCGTTCAATTGAGAATCTTCTCATTTGTGCCCACTTACTTCTTAAAATAATGCTTAGAATTCATATTTACCACTGTTATTGAATATTTTGTTAGAAATGTTAATCTCTCAGATTTAACGATGGGCTAAGAAATATTCTACTGGTATATTATCAACATAGAACTCGCTATGAGCTTATTCCCTCATTAAGAGAATAATTAATTTTCATCAGAAAATTAAAATAGGAAAACCATCATTTTTCAAAGGTATTTGTTGTATTATACAATAAATTTATTTCCACACATATCTTCAACAAAAATATATTAAAACTGAAACAAAATAATATGTAAGAATCAATATTGTATATCAAGTAGAGAAGAAAATTTATTTTTCCGCAATTTTTGCATAAAATAAACAAGATTCGGAAACAAAAATTCAAAAATTAATACCAAATCAAATATGCTAACAATAGAGTCATGGGAAATAAACAAGGCCTTACATATGCTTTTTACGAGAGTGAATTTTCTTATAGTTGTTGTTTATTTAACAACGATTCTCAGGCTGAAACTTGTCATATTTAACGAACTTCCAGTGAAGTCGAAAGTTGAGATTTGTTCGATTCCACAGCTTTTGTTTGAGAATTATTACCACTAGATATTTACATAAGTGGTTAAGGAAAGAAAATGCATTGTTATTGATTGATAATGATTTGCGCTTAATTAAATCCAGAAAATATTTAAAAAGAAACGCTTTTAGTGATACAAATCATAAAAACAAATAATCTTTTTAGTGATACAAGCCTTAAAAATTATAATGCCTTCAGTGATACAAGCCTTAAAAAGAAATAATAATGCTTTTAGTGATACAAGTCTTAAAAAGAAATAATAATGCTTTTAGTGATACATGTCTTAAAAAGATACAATAATACTTTTAGTGATACAAGTCTTACTAATTAACTGGGGAAGAGGAGGTGTATTCTTACGTTTCCCAAGTGTATTTATGTGTAACCGAATATAAGTCCAACTGAAATCAGAACTTGGCTCTCCAATTAACAATTATCCATTACACCACCCGCACACCCAAGCTTACAACACATGTTATGCCCAAACAGTCACTCATATAGGTAATGACAAGGGTCGATATTGCTTAATTTCGTTTTTCTTGTTTGTTGAGGAGAGTGGCTAAATACCATCCAAGATTAAATACAAGACTTGCAAAATAGCTGATGTAGACTCAAAAGCAATCCAGTGATATGATGACACGGCATCGCTGGATGGAGCGTTTTCTAGAAATAAATTAGCGGCCAGGGCAGAGGGTCCCTCACCCCGATTAAATCATGAGGCAAGTATAGAGGCGGTCCTTCACGTCAAGAAGTCTGATCTCGATGGTTTCTGCCAGGTCTAATTGTTCAAGACACAGCGTATGAATGGATTCCTCTCCGGCTTTCGTCCCAGATATGTGAAGGGAACTGGTCAGTTTGCTCGACTGCTTAGCCATTGACGTTGTTTCAACTTGATATAGCCGTAAGCGAAAGAATAGGCTAATGTTCCAGATGGTAATTAATGTATACAGGCTGATATGAAAAATGATTGGCTCTAAATGTCAACTAAAATTAGAAAGAATAATGAAAGACATGAAGGGTTATTTGGGTCCCACGCGTGTCAACAATTCTGAGCAGTACTATAAGAATTAGGTTCTAAAGTTTTCTTAAATGTCGTGCAATTATTGTTAATTGGTTTTTCAACATTTTCGCTTTCTCTCCAGTAGTCAGCTGCTAGGCTGGCATCTGCTAATTGATGAATTTCCTTTTCCTTTGCAATCATATTTTGTTATCTGTCTTGGAGGTTTAGATAACGTGGAGTATGTTGATATTATTAGTATTAGTAGTAGTAATAGTAGTAGTAGTAATAGTAGTAGTAGTTTCCATGACAACCGTGATTATCTTATTTACTATTTGTTAATCCTCGAATCCAAACGAAAGTGTTCCTTTATTATTGTATTAATTTGGAGCCAACTTGCTACGTTTATACTGAATATTATTTAAAATCTCATTTTTCCTTCCCAGAGATGCAGGTTGCTGCATTCATTTCTTTTTTTTCTATTTTTCTTCTTCATCTGCAAAGCTTTCCTTTTCTATGGAGTGTTGCCGTTATTTGCTATCACAGTTCTTTACTGAGACCTTTACCTGAGGTAAGAAAGTTCATTTTTTAGATGGTCATTGAGCATATTAGATTAAGAAAATGTTTTTTTTTTAATTACGTGACATTCCTTTCTCAGAGACTCACCTGTTATCGGAATAGTGGTTGCGTTTAGTGGCAAAATTTTCATATTCATATTGTATGCTAGTCCACAAAATTCTTCTGAGCCGACCAAGCATAGAAATGAATACAATATGGGAACCAGTAATAAGGAGTGCCAGAGAAAAGTGATAATAACAACAAAAATAGCAATATTAGCTCTGGTAAAAACATGAACGATAACAGAAAAAATGCAATATGAGCACTGGTAAAAAATCACATATGGAGAGAAAAGGGAGATTACCGGAAGATCATAAACAAAGAACACCATTAGAAAATTCGCAAACGTAAGGAATCAGCACATATGCTAGGCCAGAAAAATCTCCTGAGCCGACTAAGCATAGAAATGAATACAATATGGGAACCAGTAATAAGGAGTGTCAGAAAAAAGTGATAATAACAAAAATTGTAATATGAGCTCTGGTAAAAAAAAATCAGATCCTTTATCATTGTCCATATTTTCTCTTTTTATATTCTGTATTAATTTGGTGCCAACTTGCTACGTTTATACTGAATGTTATTTAAAATCTCATTTTTCCTTCCCAGAGATGCCAGTTGGTGCATTTATTTGTTTTGACTATTTTTCTTCTTTATCTGCGATTCTTTCTTTTTCTGTGTAGTATTTTCCTTTCCATATTTCTTTTCTTCATGAGGTTTTCATTATTCCTGAATTTCTTTTCATTCATCTGTTTATTTCCTGGTTCTAGTCGTTCCTATTATATTTTCCCTACATTCTGGTTCCGATTTTTCAAGTCACATGTGCAGAGAAGGTCCCCAGGGGAAACGCTCAAATAATGCCAAATCAGTCAACTGGCAAATACATTTATGGTACTGAACAGGATCCTTTCTTCATTCTCCAAGAAAAAAACATGTACATATATAAATCTTCATTCAATTAAGAGCGGTTGCCGTCATTTGATGTCACAGTTCTTTACCGACACCTTTATCTGAAGTAAGAAAATTCATTTTTGATATGGTCATTGAGCATATTAGATTAAGAAAATGGTGTTTAAGTATGTGACCTTTGTTTCTCAGAGATTCACCTGTTATTGAAATAGTGGTTGCGTTTCTTGGCATAATTTTGGAATTTCTATTTCAAGATTATTATATTTTAACTCTTTGCAAAATACTTCTTTTTTTTTAAATATTGATTTTTTAATTATTGTTATTTACTTTTTATTATTAAATGTAATAATAAACCCCACCCTCAGGATTATTATGATTGTTATTAATCCCAATTCGCTATTGGTCTGACAAGAGATTAATTTTAAAGATCCTTATCATCACCATCACCATTATTATTATTATTATTATTATTATTATTATTATTATTGTTGTTGTTGTTGTTGTTGTTGTTGTATTTATTTCCTTTGATTTCTGACGTGTACACATTTCTTTCCTGGTCCCGCCCAGAGACCTAAGTTTTGAAACGGCTTCATGACACTTTCCACTGAGAAAAAAAATAAACAAAAAAAAAAAAACAACATATTTTACATAAAGATAAAGCCCGACGTAAAGTGTGGGCTGTACTTGTGAAAACAATTTTTTGTATTTCTTTGAGGCATGGACTTCCAGGAATCCCTTCAATTAGTCTACTGGAATCTTTTCCAACCAATCCAACTTCAACAGGGTTTGTTGATATTATTATTATTATTATTATTATTATTATTATTATTATTATTTTCTTTGATTTCTGGCGTTTTTACATTTCTTTTCAGGTCCCTTGGGACCTAAGGTTAGAAAGGGCGTCATGACACTTTCCACTGACAAAAAAAAAAAAAAGAATTAAATTACATAGATAAAGCCCTTCGTAAGGTGTGGGCTGTATTCGTCAGAACAATTTTTTGTATCTCCTTGAGGCATGGACTTCCAGGAATCCCTTCAATTAGTCTACTGCAATCTTTTCCAACCAGTCCTAGGGCTCCAACTACAACAGGGATTGTTGATGTTCCCATATGCCACATTTTCGTGATTTCTATTTCAAGGTCCTTGTACTTTGACAACTTTTTGAATATCTTCAAAGATACATTGCAGTCAGCAGGGACTGCCATATCAATAAGGAGACATCGTTTTTGTTTGTGGTCTTTAATAACAATATCTGGCCGGTTGGCCTTGATTGTTCTGTCAGTGTGTATTGTGTAGTCCCATAGAATTGTAACAGGTCCTATCTCCGTAACCGGGTCTGGGTGGTGTTCATACCAGTTTCTTTCAGTTTCCTTCCCGTAGAAGTTGCAGATTTTCCAGTGCAGATACTGGCCCACTCTGTCATGTCGGATTTTATATTCAGTGGGTGCCAACACCGTACAACCTAATACAAGATGATCAATCATTTCTGGATATTTATCACAGAATCTGCATTTGGGGCTGACACAATATTTTAGTATATGTGCTTGATAATTCCTAGTTAGGAAGCATTGGTCCTGCGCAGCAAGGATAAAACCTTCAGTATCCGCTTTCAACCCTGCACTACGTAGCCACTAATGGGTACGGGTTTTGTCTACGTCAGCTTGTTTGGTACGGGCAGAGTATTGGCCATGAAGCGGTTTATCTTGCCATCGCTTCTGTAACTAGTCGGTTGCATTCGTCTGTGCTGTCTTTTTTAGGTATTTTGCAGTTTCAGCCGGTGTATTTTGCTGTAGTTGCATCTCTACGCCCATTTGAAACTCCATTTTGAATTTGTTGGCTTCTTTCACTACGGAGTAAAGACGCTTACTACTTTCATGTTCCTTGATGCATACCATCATCCAGTCTTCTGTAGTTTCCAAATATCTTTGGAGGCCAATTGTTGTAGTTTTGTAGGACAGTTCTAGTTGAACTAATCCTCTTCCTCCTTCGGATCTGGGCACATACAGACGATCGACATCAGCTTTGGGATGATGCATGCGATAGCAAGTGAGAAGCTTTCTCGTTTTGGCATCCATTCGCTTAATTTCAGCTATGGTCCAGTTAAAGACATTAAAGCTGTATTGCACCACAGGGACAGCCAATGTGTTTATGGCTGATATCCTGTTTTTTTAGTTTAGCTCAGTATTTAGTACCAGACGTACACCCCTCTAGTACTCTTTTCTTATTTTTTCCTTAATTTGGGGGTGTTGTATGCCATCTCCTTCGCTAATTCCTAGGTACTTATAAGCTTCACCATGCTCCAGTTGCCTAATCTTTGTGACAAAATCTAAATCTATTAAGGGTGTTTCTGTAATTCTACCTTTCTTAAATGTTACTTTTGCACATTTATCTTATCCGAAGTCCATACCTATGTCATCACTGAAGTATTTTACAATATTGAGGAGGCCTTTCAACTCATTGTCGTCTTTGGCAAAGAGTTTGAGATCATCCATGTAGAGTAGGTTTATAATAATAATAATAATAATAATAATAATAATTATTATTATTATTCCCAATTCATTATTCTTCTAACAATAGAACTAATATTCAATTCCATTCATTTGATTAATATTATTATTATTTCACGTTTTTCTGATTTCATATTTGAAACACTCGTTTACCGAGTCTTTTATCCGCGACGTTAGGTAAAATAATGTTTTTTTTTTGTTTTTTTAATGCTATTTTTCTTCTTCATCTATTGAGCCTATAAGATTGAGAATATTTTTCTGACTATGTAAATGGTGATGATGTGTACAATTTTTTTTTTCTCTCAGTTAGTGATTGGTTTCTTGTTCCTTTCTCCTTCACAACATCTTTTTAGTTCCTTCATTCGCAATAAACACTGACGTCTTCGTAGCTTTCTCTTATTTCAGGTGAAATGTAAATCAAAGGATCTTTCTGGTGAGATTTTATCTCAACTCACACATCTGTAAGCATTGATGCGTCAGATCATTGTCAAAGTCTAGGTCTTATGAAAATGGGTATCGGCCATATCAGGGTCTTTTTTTCTTCCCATTTGCTTATGGTTATTATACTAGATAGACCATTATTCTTTACTTTTCGTCTATATTTCTGAGACCAAGTACTCTAATTGTTTATACTATTTACATTGTTCGATCTATTGTTCTCATGTTTATTGTCAGATTCACGGTGTTTCGGCTGTTAAAAAGTCCGGACTTCTTCAGGTAATATTGGTAGGAATTTCGACCGGAAACCTTTATTTACTCAACGGAGCCAGTAGATTTTTCTAATTCCACATGCCATGCCTTCGGATATCTCATTTTTACTTAATTCCCATTGATAACTCAAATCTCGATGATTGTGTTTTCTGCGTTGATTGAACAGACAATTATTTGGATCAAATCACTTTTTGGATCAATCCACTAACATTTGTATCCACAAGGCCGTGTGTCCTTAGGTGAAATTTAGCAGTCTAGTGCTTTGAATTAAATAAATGATTCGATTCGAAATTCCAACAGAGATCCTTGTTCTTTGTTTAATAATTCTTGTCTCTACGTTTTGATATTTTCCCAAGTTATTATCATTATTATTATTATTATTATTATTATTACTATTGTGTCTTTGTCTATTACGACTTGTACTCAGATATAAACCAAAGACATCAAGATATAGGTTTTTATATCAGAAGATACAAATAGCTGGGGTGACTTGCTGTCATGGGTCCTTACCTATAACTAGAGAATGAACTTTCCTAACACTATGTATACTACGCCTCTCAAGAGAGTGGGTCGAATCAAGTCGAGCTTCTCGGCTTGACGGTCGAACTCTCTGCCTCTGAGCGGTGAGGAACCCGGACGAGACTCCGCCGAATGGGCAGAGTCTCGTTCGGGGAGGTTGACCAACCCGATCCCGTTTATACGGGTTCTACGGCCATTTTTTGGCCGAGCCTACGGCTCGAAACCCCGTTAAACTCGGACTTGTGCCACATGCAACCCTCGTGGGGGGGGGGGCTAGATACCGAATCGAGTCGAGCCGATAGTAGTTCACTCCAAACCAGACTGACAGTCATACTAACACCTTCCACAGCTTGTATTATTATTTCGTATAATATACCTTCGTTATTTCTACTCTTGTGTTCGTGTTTTTCTTCCTTGGTCCTAACCTGGACCATAACACTCGCAATGGGAAGAAAATTATCATTATTATTATTATCATTATTATTATTATTTCATTTATCTTTCATTTGTTTTGTTTGTGCTGCTCTTAACTCTCAACTAAACACGTCAGGGGGCAGGTAAGATTTTTATCGAAAGTTCTAGCAATTGTGTTGCAATGTTGCAGGTTTAGAAAATAGTTCTAAAATTTAAATGTAAGAATTCCATATTTTATTCATAAAATTTGCAAGATTATAATTCCAATAAATCACTGAAAGACAATTCATAAAATATTAATGCATTAAATCTTCCATTATCTATACGAATTGAAAGTTACATAAATTGTGTGAAGTACCCATGAGTGTGATGGTATGTAATGCACTTATTTTGGGACTATCAGGATTTAGGTTAAATATTTGTTTGTCACTTCTGATATTATCGCCAGTTCTCCAATGAATATAGGTAATGGAATAATTTTGAGGTGCCATATTCTGTGAATTGCCATCCTAAGGTCTCTGTATGTGCTTAGATTTTCATTATTATTATTATTTGAGTTCTCATTCGATTCTTAGATGTTTCGACTGAACGATGAGGATTATAGCTCCTAATTGCAGCATAGAAACACAACAAACTTTCCTTAGCACAAGGGCTATTGTAAGCAACGCTGTCACCTGGGCATACCCATTGATGTCAGGTATTGCTAAAGTGTCTTCCGAATCGAAAAGATGCCAGGAAATACACTCGACTACACAAACCAAAAATGAGACAGCTTTAGCTGTTGTTCGGTATATTCCACTGATTTGCTCCGGGACGACCTGCTATTTTTACTGTATTTTTACCTTCTCCGCTTTGACATATTTTTTTTCGAAATCTCTTAAGAGCAAGAATCTTATATCAAATTAACCTGTAAACGGACTAAAACGTGTTGTTTTAAATGTCCCACTTCCTTTAGAAGTTTCACCTAGAATTATTCAGATCTAAAACTATATAAATTCGATATGTATTCACAATTACAAGCCAGATACATTTTACTATCCTGGACAATGTATTGTAGATTTTACTGATCATAGATTAGTATGGTACAAATCGAGAAGATAATTTCAGACAAGACATCTAAGCAGGTCTGATCTTCCTACCATGCTAGAAAATCAGTTACAGAAATCTTCAAACATATCTTATTTTGAACGCCGGCCTCGCTCAACAGCAGCAAAGCGGGCAGCAGCAACTGATAATTATTAAGCTTAGCTTAGTAAAGTGACGAATGGTTATAAGAAGATTGTCTTATGACAGTATTCCATCTGTGGCATGCATGTCTGCATGCATAGAAAATCTGTATTCAAAATTGTAACAATGATGTGGATTTTTGACACCTAGATAAATGTTTTACTAATCCTGTTGCAGGCTATTGCAGAAGCGGGATTGCGTTGAGCAAAACATTCACGTGAAGAGCATCTGTCTACCGAGAAGATCAGTTCTAAATCCTAGCAGGACTCGTTTCGACTTCAGGCTATAGAGAACAATAGTGTACTGAAAATATAGTGTTGCAGGTACAATGTTTGCGAGTTTAAATTTAGTTATAAGTATCTGAGACTCGAATCTCTGCAAACCGCAAGTTTCAAAGAAATGTAGATATGATAAAAAGTGTATCCCACTAGTGGCAGACTTGGCAATGTTTAATGATGTTTTCTTTGATATATAGTAAGCACTGTCTCACACACATAGCAGACTTGTCAATTTTCAATGAACTGTTCTTTCATATATAGTAAGCGCTGTTTCACACTAATAGCAGATTTGGTAATTTTCAATGAAGTGTCCTCTGATATATATCAGTTCATCCCATAAGTTCTGTCCGAATTTTGAATAAAAAAAAACAAGTGATCAAATGTTATTTTAATTACAGATTCAATCAACAAGGTTTTTTCCCTGATTATCTATGACTTACTTCCATCTATTAACAAGCTTACTAATTTCATTACTGTAAAATTCTTTTGGCTTTGATTCGAAGAATTCACAAATGTCAGTTTTAACCTCTCCCTGTGTTACAAAAGCTGTTTCTTCCAAATGATCCTGTAAGCTACGAAACAAATGGTAGTCTGAAAGAGCAAGATCGGGAGAATAAGGTGGATGAGGAATTTTCTCCCAACCAAGTTCTTCGATCTTTTGTGACGTGATTATGGCTGTGTGGGGTCGCGCATTGACCTGATGAAACATCACCCTTTTCGATTCACTAGAGCAGGTCTTTTTTCCTCAAAGCTTGGTTCAAACGCTGTAATTGCTGACAGTATATTTGAGCATTAATTGTTGCATTAGGTGGTAAGAATTCAAATTGGATTATTCCTTTGCGATCCCACCAGATTGAAAGAAGAACCTTTTGCCCATGAAGTTCCCTTCTCGGCTGTGGCTTGGGTCCTTCCCTTTTACTAAGCCACTGTCTACGACGCTTAACATTTCGATAAAAGATCCATTTTTCGTCGCCAAGTCTATACAAAAAAGGTGAATCAAGTTGGCGAGAATGGAGAGAAGAGCAGATGTCAACTCGGGATTTGAGGTTGTTTTCAGGCAATTCATGAGGTACCCATTTTCCAAGTTTAGGAACTTTTCCAAGTTTTGAATGTGACGATGAACAGTTGTATTGTTTGTACTGAGAACCACTGCCAATTCCTCAACTGATAAAGCAGGATTTTCTTCAAGGGCTGCATCAAGAAGCTTTTCATCAAACTCAGCTGGACGTCCCGTTCGATTTTCATCTTCAAGGGTGAAATCTCCACCTCTGAATTTTGCACACCATCTTCTGCAAGTTCTTTCATTCACACATTTCTCTTCATAAACTGAGTGAATGTTTCTAGCCGCTTCGGCTGCTGAGTTTCCTTTCTTGAACTCATAAAGCATTATGTGCCTCAAATGATTCTTGGGTACTTCCATGTTAGCAGGGTTTTAATCAAACAAAATTTAATTTTATTGTTCTCTGAAATAAAATTCGATCAGTTTAAATGCATCTAAACATACAAATAATGTTCAGCTCCATTAGACATTATAAAATACTCTTTAAATTTCGTTCATTTTAACAAAAAGTTAAAATTCGGACAGAACTTATGAGATGACCTGATAGTAAGCACAGTATCACACTAATAGCAGACTTGGCAATTTTCAATGAACTTTTCTTTGGATATATGTTAAAAGCCTTCTTACACTAATGTCAGATTTGGCCAATCGGTAGAGATCGCAAAGCCGAGATAATGATAATGTTCTTTAATTTAAGATATCACAAGTTTTCTTTTATTTCTTTTCACTGCTATTGCTTCAAGGAATACATTTTTTTATTTTTCAGCTATTTAAGGCTCTATTATCGTAATCATCAATTTAATGTCTTTAGCGGTTCACTAAATCTTTGCCGGGGCAATTTGATTGATTTGGTCTTTGGCTGGTCATCTATTGATTAAATGTTGTGAAACGTTTTGGATTAAAAAAATATCTGATGTGAGTACATGTTAATTTAGCATTATCTTACGCGTTTGTTTATTTTTCTTAATGATAGTAATTGAGATTTTTTTATAGCGCCCGTTTAGAATTTTCCAGGATTGTTTATCACATTTGAACCTGGTTTGAAGCTAAAACAGACATTTACTTTTTATTCTGTTTATTTTCTTTTGCATTCTATTCTTTCTTCATCCAACATTTTCTTTCCCTTTTCCTTTTATTTCTTCAGTTTGAATTTTCTTTTCCTATTGTTTTCGTTCCTTGTTTTATGCCCACCCACTTCTTCTGTCTTTCACTCTCTATTTAATTTCTTTGTATTTCTTCTTCTTTCATGTTACTTATATCATTCCCTTTGTCTTGTTCTTTTCTTTCGTCATACACCTCTTTCTTTTTTTTATTCCCATCGTTTATATATTTATTTCTCTTATTCCTCTTCTTCATTTTCTTCTTCCATTTACGTCTTTCGCTTCCATTTTATTTATTTCTCTTCTTGTTTTACTTTCATTCCACTGTTTCCTATTTTTATTTCGCTTTCTTTGATTTCCATTAAAGAAAATTTACCACCATTGTCTTGTAGCCTAGTATTTTATCAATTATTTCTTTTTTTACTTTTTATTCGTTTACTTTTATTTGTTACTTAAATTCCTATCTCTTTCTATTTAAATACGATTTTTTAATTAAAATTACATTTGTGTTCCATTTTGTTTTAATCCCTTAACTCTCGCCTATTTCTCACTCTTCATATTCTAGCACTATATCTCTCTCTTTTTCCCTTTATCTTCAGACCCCACATTTCAAATACATTTCCTCAGTTATTTCTTCCCCTTTTTACTTCAGTTTTACCTGTCCTTTATAGTGTTTCAATAAATAAATATTGCAGAGAAAGAAATAGTTTCCTAAATAGATTTCAACTGCGAATTAAATTGCTACTATGGCTCAAGGATACAGTTTCACTCAAACGAAAATAAATTCATTAAAACAATAAATGTTTGTTTTTTTTCTTTAATTCAACAAACACGCATGAATAAATTCCGAATAACATTGTGCGCCAAAGAGGGAAAGAAAGGAATTCCCTTGGGAAATAATCTAATAAGTTCCAAAATGAGAAATCTGGGAAGAATTTTAACGAACAAAGAGAAAATTTACTTCAAATGAAGAAATCGTTTGTGAAAAGTCGAACTAAGGTTAATTATCACGTAAATTGGATGATTGTCTCCAACCGAAAATTTAGGTGAAAAGATTCCTTCGAGGAAACAGATTTGACTGGTTTCAATTTGAATCGAAGAAAAATGTCACAGAAAAAAATTAAGTTGTCCCTTTTTCTTGAAAGCATACGAAGAAACGCCACTTCATAATAATGTTCATTCAAGCAAATATAAAAATAGAATTTTTAAACAAAAAGACACAACGTGGAAAAACATTCCTTCACCCCTACGTCGTTTAAATATTTTTTTCCAGCGTTTCACCCCACAAGCAAGGTGGGAAGCCACGAGCACGCAAGGGGTTACTGAGAATTGGAGCGAGAGCAAATAGGAGTGATAGAGGAAAGGATAAAGAGAAGGTTAGGGGATAGAACAGAGCATCTGGAGACTTCGATTGACATTACATTTGAATAGTTGGAGATTATAGCTATTAGGGAAACAAGAAAAAGGGAGGGAGTTCCACAGGAGAGAAGTGCGAGACATGAAGCTATTGAAGTAGAAAAGACGGCTACATGTAACGGTTCCGACAGTGAAAGTGTGTGAGCGATATGGCAGCCTAGTAGAACGCTTAAATTTATGAAGTTTAGGAGCCAGAGAAATGTGTATACTTATCATCCTAATAAGGTACGCTAGTATGATTCAAGGCGAAAAACGGTATTCTAACTTCTGGTATTTTATTATTGAATTCCCTCAAAGGGATCCGTTTGAACCTCTTGACACACATGGATGTATTTTAAAACTTTAAAGCGACCATTCATTGGATATGAGCACAGCTAGTCTGCGCGTAATGCGCTTGAAAAACAGCAGCAGCGACGCGTTCAGAATGATTACAGGAAGGACTAAAATGACAACATACTTCTGTCAACATCATTGTATCTTTGGTAGATAGGTAGGTAGGTAAATAACCATAACAGGGGATAAGCGTTTTGTAGCTGAAAGCATTTGTTCTGATGGTATTATTCATATATCTGCAGTAATTGCCACAGCAATAAATATAAGATATTAATTTAAGAACATATATATTGCTTCTCTGGCTTTTGGAATTCAGCCCTAGCCTAACCTAAACTACCGTCTTTTTCGCAATGGGGATTATACATTACTTGAAAATTCTATATCAAGTCTATATTTTGTACGATTGTTTGATAAAAATGCCCATTTTTCTCAGCAGAGAATTGTACCTCAAGCTGATTAGATATCAAAAGTCGTTATAAAGAAGAGCGGTCTCTAAGCCAAACTATTTAAAACAGGAATGTTTACTCAAAAACAAGTACCCAGGAAATAGTTATTTGTATAAAAAAGAAACAATGTATGCCTAAATATCAATTTAGCTCTTTAAAAATACCATATATATATATATATATATATATATATATATATATATACTATTATTATTATTATTATTTTTTAAATATGATTCTTTCGCTACATAAGAGTACTCATGTTTCAAAAACAGAAGCTAAGTACTTATGTAGCGATGCAATGATATTTTTAAAAAAATAATTAGGCTCTGCTTATGTATTGATCGCAGTTTTTTAAAAATAAAACAAAAATACAAAAGAACTTCGGATTATTAATCTAATGGTTCTTTCCTACTTTTCTATATATTTGCACACACACACACACACACACACACACACACATATATATATATATATATATATATATATATATATATATAAGCGTTTCACCCTAAGAAAGGCTGGAAGCCACTAGCACGCAAGGGGTTACAGAGAGTTGGAGCTAGAGCAAATAGGAGTGATAGAGGAAAGGATGAAGAGAAGGATAGGGGATAGATCAAGGCATCTGGAGACGTCGATTGACACTACATTTAAATAGCTGGAGATTATAGCCATCATGAAAACAAGAAATGGGGAGGGAGTTCCACAGGCGAGAAGTGCGAGACATGAAGTTATTGAAGTCGTAGAGACGGCTACATTTAACGGTTTCTCTAGCGAAAGAGTGAGAACGAGATGCCGGCCTAGTTGAACGCTTAAAATTTGTATATGTATTGCAGGTATTTTAAGTATAAAAAATGCATTCATACAGTATTGTTTTTGTTTCAGCGATCATTATTTGTTCATGGCTGGCAACCTAACAGATGCTACTGCCCTGCGCCAGGTTGGACCTGGGAACAATAGCAATGAAGTGGTGGTTTTACGCTCCTCAAATCCTTCAATGTGACGATGGAGGACCTTGCATTCGGATGTAATTTATTTTCATACTCAGAACTAGGCTTCGCTCGTAATTTGAAGGGCAAGATATTATAGCAAACAAAGATCCAAGCCCGAAGCCATGCAAGTGTGTGCTATATATTTCGGTATTTATTTTCATCCCCACGATGATATGACGTAACACAATGTCGGATGTAATGCTGGGGTATTAATATATATATATATAATAAACTGACGCCAAAAACTGTCCAATTCCAGTCACCACATTTACATTGCAGCGGTATCAATCGACCCTTACTCTTAAGAGCGTTGAGGAAGATGCTGCAACAGGGTGGTAACGACAGGGAGCAGGCTTCATTGAGAACTAAATGGAAGAGAAAACAGATACTATACTTTGATCCCATGCAGAAGGCATACGTTTGCTATTTACAAATTAATCCACAGTGATAGGATATAACAGAAGGTTGGTTTAATGTAGCGTCCCATCTCCGTACTAGAAGGGAACACATAAAAAATAATATCTCATGTAATTTTGAAGAGAAAATAATACATAATAAAGAAGTTGACATCCCACACTACATTAAATAAAAGATTAGAAAAGAAACGCCTATCAATATTTGAAACATCGTAAAAAAGCGAATCGATTTGTATTACGTCAATGATTTTATAAATTTCAACCGACAGTACTATACAGGCTGCTCGGTCGACGAATGCCAAATGTGTCCTCATAAAGAAACCGTTAATATTACTATTATTATTACCATTACCTATAGACCAAGAACTAAAATTATTTAGTCACCAAAAGTACTGTCACGTTGATATTGGTATTTATCAACCTTCTTCTTTAGAATTATGAGGAAATATTATTGTAAATTTGGAATTTTGAAACTCGGATTTCCTAGAAAAATATGATGATGACATCCGTTATCTTTTCATGAAATCTACTCGTCTCATTGTTGTTCGCGCGTTTATACAAATGTATTTTATTTACAGGCTCTTTCACGAATGCCGTCTATCAGAATTTGCGCTTCGCATGAATTAAAAAAAATCGATCATTGGTCAATGTTTAATTATCTCCCTTGATTTCTCTTCTATCTCGACATATACATCTATTGACAACTATTCACTAGCAACGAAAAGGTTGATTATTTATAAGAAAAAAATAATAAATATAATCATACTTATTATAAAACCCAGGTTGTGTTTGTGTGTGTGTCTGTACGTTTATATATTGGATGGGATTTCCTACATTTTTCAACCGATTTTAACAAAACTTCACAGAACTACGTAAAATTACCTTACGGTGGTTCTGACAGCGCCAAAAATTGGAAAACACAATTTTTTTTGCACGGAATCAATTTTAAAACACGATAAGAGGCATCACCATCGCCTGAATTAAAGGGGGACAACACATATCGAGTTATACTTATTATAAAACACAGGTTGTTTGCGTGTGTGTGTCTGTGTTCGTTTATATATGGGATCGGATTTCCTACATTTTTCAACCGATTTCAACAAGACTTCACTTTTTTTTTGCAGGTAGTGTTTCTTATTGTCTTGCACACTTTTTTCTTTATTTTTACATTCAGAATACTTTAAAAATTCCATTTACAAGTCAATTGTTTATAATACAATTCTATTCAATCGTTAGACCCATAACGATTGAAAACAATGTTTTTGTTTGAGTTTGGTTTTGACCAATTCGTAAAAAAAAATAAAAAAATAATACTAATTAAGACATGCGTGTCCGTCAACCTTAAACAATAATCTTTGTCAATTTTATTTTTCAGTCTTTATGATGGTCGATACTTGATCTATCTCTTACTGTTACATCCCCGGGCAACGCCGGGCTCTACTGCTAGTCGTAGCTATATTACAAGGACAACCTTCAACATCTCAAGCTCAAAAGAATGTAAGAGGAAAATATATATTTAGTTAGATTTAAAAAGTTATTTTATTGTGGATTGTTTGCAATTACGAATGCAGTATTTTAAAGATTACAGATTATGTGAATTATGTTCCCTCAATGCGTCTATGCAGACAATATTTCTTAATAAGTTTATGATAGGAAAATAATTTTTAAAAACATATTTAAAAAGTCTCGTGTAACAATTTCCTTTGTTCAGTTTTTTCCTTTATTTTCTTCGTTTGTTATATATTCAACTACCTTAAAAGCCGAACTTCATGGATATTTTCAAGCAAGGTCATGTGGAGGGCGAATTAAGCCTCCGTCCCCAAACTAAAGAGACGTTCGGTCCAGCTTAGAAAACCCCAACGATAATTTTGAAAAAAAAAATTTGAATTCATCAATTGACTCCATGGAACTTCAAAACCTCTCTTTAACCAAAGAAGAACAACACAAACACAAGAGTAGAAATAATGAAGGTATATTACACGAAATAATAATACAAGCTGTGGAAGGTGTTAGTATGACTGTCAGTCTGGTTTGGAGTGACCTACTATCGGCTCGACTCGATTCGGTA